CGGTTCCGGGGTGAAAATTGGAACCTGAAACGGGTGATTTTCCATCTGGGCGCTCTCAGGAGCCTTGCGGGCGCATATCAGGGATGGGGGGAAGTGTACCCGAGCTCCCAAAATGGCCATCTTCCAAATGAAAACGTCTTATTGGGGAGCTTGTTTTTCGCGGCTGGGCCCTTCCGCTCAGCGTCGGGAGGTGCCAGATGGATTTTCACCCCGAACCGTTCCAGTGTGAAAATCCATCTGGACCCCCCCCCCTCAGCGCAGAACGACTCTCTCGGGGATGGGCGGAGTGTACCCGAGCCCCCAAAATGGCAATTTTCCAAATGAAATCTCTAATTGGGGAGCTTGTTTTTCGCGGCTGGACCCTCCCGCTCAGCGTCGGGAAGTCCCAGATGGATTTTCACCCCGGAACCGTTCCAGGGTGAAAATCCATCTGGGACCCTCTCCCAACGCAAAACGGCTCTGTCGGGGATGGGAGCGAGGGAGTGTACCCGAGCCCCCAAAATGGCCATCTTCCAAATGAAATCTCTTGTTGGGGAGCTTGTTTTTCGCGGCTGGGCCCTCCCGCTCAGCGTCGGGAGGTCCCAGGTGGATGTTCACCCCGGAACCGCCGCTCCAGGGTGAAAATCCATCTCGACCCCACCCCTCAGCGCAGAACGACTCTTTCTCGGGAGTGGGGGGGAGTGTACTCGAGCCTGCAAAGGGCAATGATCCAAATGAATTCTCTGATTGGGTAGCTTGTTTTTCGTGGCTGGGCCCTCCCGCGCAGCGTCGGGAGGTCCCAGATGGATTTTTACCCCGGAACCGTTCCAAGGTGAAAATCCATCTGGGACCCTCCCCGAACGCAAAACGGCTCTCTCGGGATGGGGAGGGTGCCCGAGCTTCCAAAATGGCCATCTTCCAAATGAAATCTGGTGAGCTTGTTTTTCGCGGCTGGACCCTCCCGCTCAGCGTCGGGAAACCCCAAATGGATTTTCACCCCGGAACCGTTCCAGGGTGAAAATCTATCTGGGACCCTCTCCCAGCGCAAATGAGGAGGGAGGAGTGTACCGAGCCCCCAAATGGCCACTTTCCAAATGAAATCTCAGATTGGGGAGCTTGTTTTTCGTAGCTGGGCCCTCCCGCGCAGCGTCGGGAGGTGCCAGATGGACTTTCACCCCGGAACCGTTCCAGGGTGAAAATCCATCTGGGACCCTCTCCCAGCGCAAAAGTTGTTTCGGGGATAGGAGTGTACTCGAGCCCCCAAAATGGCAATTTTCCAAATGAAATCTCTTGCTGGGAAGCTTGTTTTTCGCGGCTGGACCCTCCCGCTCAGCGTCGGGAGGTCCCAAATGGATGTTCACCCCGGAACCGCTCCAGGGTGAAAATCCATCTGGCAACCTCTCCCAGCGCAAAACGGCTCTCTCGGGAATGGATCAAACAAAGCGCACCCGAGCTTCCAAAATGGTCATTTACCAAATGAAATGAAATCTCTTGTTGGGGAGCTTGTTTTTCGCTGCTGGGCTCTCCCGCTCAGCGTCGGGGGGTCCCAAATGGATTTTCACCCCGAAACCGTTCCAGGGTGAAAATCCATCTGGGATCCTCTCCCAGCGCAAAACAGCTCCCTCGGGGATGGGGGGGTGGAGAACCCGAGCCCCCAAAATGGCAATTTTCCAAATGAAATCTCTAATTGGGGAGCTTGTTTTTCGCGGCTGGGCTCTCCCGCGCAGCGTCGGGAGGCCCCAGATGGATTTTCACCCCGGAACCGCTCCAGGGTGAAAATCCATCTGGAACCCTCTCCCAACGCAAAACGGCTCTCTCGGGGACGGGGGGGGGGTTTACCCGAGCCCCCAAAATGGCCATTTCCCAAATGAATTCTCATTTTCGGGAGTTTGTTTTTCGCGGCCGGGCTCTCCCGCGCAGCGTCGGGAAGTCCCAGATGGATTTTCACCCCGGAATTGTTCCAGTGTGAAAATCCATCTGGGATACCCTCTCCCAACGCAAAGCGGCTCTCTCGCGGATGGGGGGTGCACCCGAGCCCCCAAAATGACAATTTTCCAAATGAATTCTCATTTTGGGAAGCTTGTTTTTCGCAGCCGGGCCCTCCCGCGCAGCGTCGGGAAGTCCCAAATGGATTTTCACCCCGAACCGTTCCAGGGTGAAAATCCATCTGGGACCCTCTCCCAGCGCAAAACAGCTCTCTCGGGGACGGGGGGGGGAGTGTACCCGAGCCCCCAAAATTGCCATCTTCCAAATGAAATCTCTGATTGGGGAGGTTGTTTTTCGCGGCTGGGCCCTCCTGCGCACCGTCGGGAGGTCTCAGATAGATTTTCACCCCAGAACCGTTCCAGTGTGAAAATCCATCGTGGACCCTCTCCCAGCGCAAAACGGCTCTCTCGGGGATGGGGGGGACGAAGTGCACCGGAGCCCCCCACATGGCCATCTTCCAAATGAAATCTCTGATTGGGGAGTTTGTTTTTCGCGGCCCTCCCGCGCAGCGTCGGGACCAGATGGATTTCCATCCCGGAACCGTTCCAGGGTGAAAATCTATCTGGGACCCTCTCCCAGCGCAAAACATCTCTCTCGAGGATGGGAGGAAGTGTACCCGAGCCCCCCAAATGGTCATTTTCAAATGAAATGTCTGATCGGGGGGCCATTCTTTCCGCGGCGGCAAGGAGCCCAATATGGCCTTCTGTAAACAGCCCCTTAAAAGCATTCTGGAAGGAGCACAATAAGGCCTTCTGTAAGGAGCCCAATAAAGCATTATGTAAGGAGCGCGATGAGGCATTCTGTAAGGAGCCCAATGAAGCATTCTGTAAAGAGCGCCAGAAGGCCTTCTGCAAGGAGCCGGTAAGGCCTTCTGTAAAGAGCGCAGTAAGGCCTTCTGTAAGGAGCGCAGTAAGGCCTTCTAGAAGGAACGCAGTAACGCATTCTAGAAGGAGCGCAGCAAGGCCTTCTGTAAGGAGCCCAATGTGGCCTTCTGTAGTGAGCCCAATAAGGCCTTTTGTAAGGAGTGCATTAAGGCATTCTGTAAGCAGCGCAGTAAGGCCTTCTGTAAGGAGCACAACAAGGCCTTCTTCAAGCAGCGCAATCAGGCCTTCTTCAAGGAGCGCGATAAGGCCTTCTGTAAGGAGCGCAATAAGGCCTTTTGCAAGGAGCGCAATAAGGCCTTTTGCAAGGAGCGCAATATGGCCTTCTGTAAGGAGCGCAGTAAAGCCTTCTGTAAGGAGCGCAATAAGGCCTTCTGTAAGGAGCGCAATAAGGCCTTCTGTAAGGAGCGCAATAAGGCATTCTAGAAGGAGCCCAATAAGGCCTTCTGTAAGGAGCCCAATAAGGCCTTCTGGAGCTCAGAGAGGCCTTCTGGGAGGAGCTCAAAATGAGCCCAAATGGGTTTTCACCTCGGAACGGGTCCAGGGTGATTCTGGAACCTGAGACGGTCAGCGTCAAGCTTCCAGAATCACCCCGGAACGGTTCCAGGTGATTCTGGAACCTGAAACGGTGGATGTTGCACGAATGCCCCAATATGCTGCCAAGAAGCCTCCTCCTCATGTTTCCTCCCTCCTCTTCTTCGTATGATTCTTAATAGTGCGCTTATGCTTCTTGTTATTGTAATTCGTGTCAGTCGTTTTCTCGTTAGCCGGATGTGCATTCTTAATACGATTAGTATCATCATCAGTAGTACCAGTACTGGTATTATTCGCTGTACCATGAGTAGCAGCATCAGAATTATAAGTATCAATAACATTATGATTATGGGTATGAGTATTGGTAGTAGTATGCGTAATATGCGCATTCGTGATAGTATTAGCAGTAGCGTTAGTACTATTAGTATTCCTAGTGCTAGCATTTGTAATAGTAATGTTAGCAGTCGCATTGTTATAATTAGCGTTACTAAAGTAAAACTTAGTACTTGTATTGTTGTTGTTAGTAGTAGTGGTAGTAAAAGTAGTCGTCGTCGTCGTAGTCGTAGTCGTAGTCGTAGTCGTAGTCGTAGTCGTAGTCGTCGTAGTAGTAGTAGTAGTAGTAGTAGTAGTAGTAGTAGTAGTAGTAGAAGTAGTAGTAGTAGTAGTAGTAGTAGTAGTAGTAGTAGTAGTAGTGGTAATAGTAGTAGTAGTAGTAGTAGTAGTCGCAGTAGTAGTAGTAGTACTAGTAGTAATAGTAGTAGCAGTAGTAGTGGTAGTAGTAGTAGTAGTAGTAGTAGTAGTAGTAGTAGTAGTAGTAGTAGTAGTAGTAGTAGTGGTAGCAGTACTAGTATTAGTACTCGCAAAAGTAGTAGAGTGATACACAATAACAAGTTTAGCAACACTAGAAGTAGTAGTGGCAGCAGCAGTAGTGGTAGTAATAGTAGTGGTACGATTATCGTAAGTATTAGTATTAGAAGTAGTACTCGTGCCCGTAGTCGTATAACAATACTGGTGTCGTATCATGTTTACTCTTTCTCTTCTTCAAAATATGCGTATTACGATTAGTATTACTATCGTCATTGCTGTTATTACTATCATATGTTATCCCTTATGTGTTTCCCCAGGGGGGTCCGCAACGGGTGGGGCAACAGATAGGCTGGGCCATGGACACAACGTTCGGCCACATAGGCGCGTCCAAGAAGACAGGGATCAACGGTGATTCGTCGTGGGCGTTTTCGATACTAGTACGATGTGTCCTCCTCGAAGGCGCGCTTCCGACCCGAACACTTGGTACATCCATGTTGTACTCTATCGTTTCCCCAGCGGCACGGCCAGAAGGCGCCTGCCACTGGGCATGTACTATGAGATGTTTCGGCGCGCGTCGCCCTTTCGGGTTAGTATGTCTGGGGAAACAAGATGGCACTGATACCGCCACTTTCCGGACCTCTCCCAGGGCGCGTTCTGACCAGGATTTTGACGCGAATCCAACGGTGGCGACAAGGGCCTCCCACGAGGCCCATAAAAGGGAACATCCAGCGAAGGGTAGCGGTATGGGTACCTTTTCCTCCGCTGAATGTTTGGGTGGCACCGAAATGAAGATGTCTGGGCTGGGACGGGAGCCTCGCCAGAACTCGCGGGCTGCGCATCTGCGAACGCCACCCACAAGTGCCGGCCGCGAGGGCGGCCAGCCCAGGGCCACGCCGTCTCCAGCGGGCCGCAGCCGCCCCTAGCAGCGAGCTCAACCTGGGCGGAAACGGCTCGGGACCACGGAAATCCCCCCCTCGCCCGGCTCCTCACCCAGACATAACAGGCCTCCTGGATGGGGACGGATTCTGTGGGGTCGGAAGATCGCGCAGCATCGCCAATACATCGTCGGAGTGTCGGGGCTGCCCCGGAGATACTTCGTCGACGCCAGCGATGCGTCGGCGACGTCGACGTGAAGCAAGTCGGGCTGCACATCGAGCCGCCTCGGCGATACATCAGCGATGCGGCGCGATCCTCCGACCCCATCTACTTGGACCGCATCTAGGAGGCCTGGAACCATGGACACCTCCGTCCCGCATGGCTCCTCACCCCCACACGCTCGCGTTCTGACCAAAATCCGGACGTTTGAATGTTCATCGTGTGTTGGCGTCCTCGGGGCCCTCGCCGGGCCGTGGGACCGTCAAAAAACGGCTCAAGATGCAAAGCTGGCCTAAAAAGCTTGGTTTTCGGTGACCGCGCAATGAAAAAATCAGGGCGTCGCATGTCTGGGCGCGCATGTGTTCGACCCCCCATGGTCCAGGCTCTCCAATCCACCCTGGGTTGTGGCAGCCACGGCGTGCATAAAGGTAGTCGAGGCCCTAGCGGAACAAAAAAGCCAAGGACGGCCGCCGTTGTTTCGCCTGGCCCTCCTCCAATCATCCCATCCTTCTCCCCCTCTTTGTCCTCCTTTTCCTCCACCCCCCACCTCCTCCACCACCTCCTCCTCCTCCTCCTCCGCCCTCCCTCCTCCCTTTTCCTCCTTTCTCCCCCGTCCTTCTTCTCCTACCCCCTGATCCCTCCACAACCGAACACGCCAGATAATGAAGCATACCGTGCAGCATACCCCTTTCAGCACCCCTGGTGGTTGATTAGTCCCCCGCAAAAACAAAACTGGTCGGGGGAAGGGGGTGGCGAGGCCGAATTCCACTATCGCGGGAAATCACGAATCGAAGTTGCGACCTTTTAGTATTGAATGAAAGCACGATCACGAACGTGTGACATGGCTACGGCAATACAATATTATGTATATGGTTTCGTGTTCCTCCGACCCCATCCAAGGCGGCCCCGCCAGAGCGAGCAGGATATCGCTACACAGTGACAACATATCGATGCACGTACGAGTTGCCCGGGGAAAATGCATCCCCCCCCCCGAAACACGGACGATATGATCCCCGCCCTGTGATTATCAGGGGCATACGGTTTTCCGCAGCCCCGGCACGTAACTGACCTCGACGTGCGAGTCCACCGGGACTGGGCGCATCGCGGACGATCGCCCCCTGCTGGGAAGCGTTTTGACCGTAAGCCTCAACGAGTCAGCGGGCGGAAAGCCCCTGACCCAGACCTCCGGAGCTTCGCGCCAGCGCCGTCTCCCAGCGCCCCCCACGCCACTCCGCGGAGCCCAGCACTGGCACGCCTGATGAATTGAAGCTGAACCGTCGCCGGAATGGAAGAATAACGCAAGCAGGGGCGGCCTGGCAGGGGGAGGGGAGGGAGGGGGAGGGGGGACCGGGGGGCGGGGGGCGGAAGCGGACGCAGTGCGGTGGTCGAGGTGGCGGGCGCGGTGGTCGCAGCGGGAGCCGTGAGGGTCAGGCAACTGGCAGTCGCGTTGGAGGCGGTCGCGTGGGTCGTGGTCGCGGGGGTGGCCGTGGTAGGCGTGGCTGTGGCCGCGGGCGCCTGGTCGTGGTAGCGGGCGTGGTGGTGGTGGTGGTGGCACTGGCCGCCGGCGCCGCCGTGGCCGCAGTGGCCGCCGAGGCGCGCTGGCGGCGCTGCTGGGCAGTGGCAGCCGTCGCGGCAGACTCTTTCCCGAGGGCGGTCAAGACCATGTCGGCGCTGCCCGTCTACAGGGTCCCCGAGATTTCCCGCCAGAGGCGGCCCAAGAGCTCGCCCCGCTCCTCCTCCCCGAGGTCGGCACCATAGCTACGCACCAAGGCTACGCCGAGGGCCGACCCCTGGCCTCAAATACGTGGGGATGAGCTCGAGCCCATGCTGCGGGGGGTACCGCGTTCTCAGGTCGTCGACCTTGTGGGCTGCCGTCAAGCCACTCCTGCTCCCCCTCCCTCCTCCCCCCTCCCTCCTCCCTCCTCCCTCCTCCTCCCTCTTGCCTCCTCCTCATATTCCTCCTCCTCCTCCTCCTCCTCCTCCTCCTCCTCCTCCTCCTCCTCCTCCTCTTCCTCATCCTCCTCCTCCTCCTGTTCCTCCTGCTCTTCCGCCTCCTCCTCATCATCCTTCTTCTTACTAGTAGTACCAGTTTTACTATTATGCTTAGTCTGAAAATCCATGTAGTGTTCTTCTGCTTCGTCTTCTTATCATTAGTGTTCGTCGTCGTATTATTATCAGTGTTGTTCGTCTTATCATTCGTGTTTTCGTCTTATCAGTAATACCAGAATTCTTGGTATTACGATGCTTCGTCTGAATACTCCTCTTTCTATTGGTACTATTGTTCTTACTACGTTAGTCTTACTATTCGAGAGGACACCTTCCCAAGGACTGGTTTCTCATCCTGAGCCGTGCTTTCTGACGGCCCCGTGCCCAGCGCTTCATCCTGGATCCGTCTCTGCTGGCCCCAAGGCACGACCACGGGCCCCAGAGGCCAAAATCCGGAAAAAGTCGCCAGGATTAAAAGATGGCCCCTGCCTCTCTCCGAGAGAAGTTCGAGTAGGAGATCTACTACAGAATCGATGTGCCCCGAAATCTAAATTCGCAGACTTTGTTGTTGTATGTCTGGTGTAAACATAGTATGTAGTCACCCCCCTACTCGAAAGAGCGGGGGGCGGCCCAATTGGCTCCGCCCCCGGCCGCCGCCCGCGCCGACCGCACAGGCGCCGCGACGACGGCGTGCAGCGCCTCCGCCAGCGCGACGGCGCCCGTGCCGCGACACATGGCGCGGCGCCCCCCAGCCAAGGGGGGGTGAGAGGAGGGGGAGGAGCAGGAGGACCTTTACCGCCTCCTTCCCCTCCACCAACTGCTCCTCCTCCTACTGCTCCTCCTCCTGCCCCTCCTCCTCCTCCTCCTGCTTTTGCTCCTCCTTCCCCTCCCCCTCCCCCAACCCCAACCCCAACCCCAACCCCAACCCCAACCCCCTCCCCCTCCCCCTCCCCCTCCCCCCCCCCCTCCTCCTCCTCATCCTCCCCTCCTCCTCCTCCTCTCCTCCTCCCCTCCCCCTCCTCCTCCTCCTCTTCCTCCTCCTTCTCCTCCCCTCCTCCTCCTCATCCTCATCCTCCTCCTCATCCTCATCCTCCTTCCTCCTCCTCTGAGTATTCTTATTCTTGATAGTATTTTTATTTCTTTCTCCTCCTCCTCCTCCTCCTGCGCCGCCACCGCCTTCGCCGCCTCCGCCGCGGCCGCCGCCGCCTTCGCCTCCGCCTCCGCCTCCGCCGCTTCCACCTCCTCCCTCTCCTCTTCTCCTCTGCCTCCTCCTCCGCCTCCCTCCTCTTCTCCTCCTCCCTTTTCCTCCTCCTCGTCCTCCTCCTCCTCCTCCTCCTCCTCCCTTCCTCCGCCTCCTCCATACGCGCCTCCTCTCCTCATCCTCCTCCTCCTCCTCCGGTCTCCTCCTCCTCTCCTCCTCCTCCTCCTCCTCCTCCTCCTCCTCTCCTCCTCCTCCTCCTCCTCCTCCTCCTCCTCCTATGGCCTCCTCTTCATCCTACCTACTCCTCCTCATCCTCCTAAAAAAAACCTCGTCCTCGCCCTCCTACTCTCGTCCTCATCCTCGTCCTCCTCCACCCCCACCTCCCTGCGCTCGACCACCTCCTCCCTCCTCCTCCTCTCCGTTCCTCCTCCTCCTCTCCTCATCATCATCATCATCATCACCATCATCATATCACGTCATCCCGCTTCACCTCATCATCATCACATCATCATCATCATCATCGTCGTCCGTCGTCGTCTCTCGTCATCGTCAGTCGCTTCATCATCATCATCAATCATCATCATCTCATCATCATCATCATGCTCATCATCATCATCATCATCATCATCATCATCATCATCATCATCATCATCATCATCATCCTCTCCTCATCTTCACCATCATCATCATCATCATCTCCATCATCAGCAGCATCAGCATCAGCCTCAAATCATCATCAGTCATCACCATCCGCAGCAGCATCAGCATCATCATCATCAATCTATCATCATCATCATCATCTCATCATCCTCATCGATCATCATCATCAGCATCAGCATCATCATCACCACCACCATTTCCATCAGCATCATCAGCATCATCAGCATCAGCATCAGCATCAGCATCATCATCAGCATCATCATCATCAACAACAACAGCATCATCATCATCAGCATCGTCATCATCATCAGCATCATCATCAGCATCATCATCATCACCAGCAGCATTATCATCATCACCATCATCATCATCATCAGCAGCAGCATCATCATCATCATCCTCATCATCATCACCATCATCAGCATCAGCATCATCATCATCACCATCATCACCATCAGCATCATCATCATCCTCATCATCATCCTCATCCTCGTCCTCATCCTCATCCTCATCAGCATCATCATCATCATCAGCAGCGTCATCATCATCATCAGCAGCAGCATCATCATCAGCATCATCATCATCAGCATCATCATCATTCAGCATCAGAATCAGCATCATCATCATCATCATCAGCAGCAGCAGCATCATAATCGTCATCATCAGCATCATAATCATCATCATCAGCTTCATCTGCATCAGCAGCATCAACATCAACATCAGCATAATTATCATCAGCAGCATCATCATCAGCAGCATCGTCATCATCACCATCATCAGAATCATCATCATAATCAGCATCAGCATCATCACCACCACCACCATCATCATGATCATCATCATCAGCAGCATCATTTTCATCAGCAGCAGCATAATCATCATCATCAGCAGCAGCATTATCATCATTATCATCAGCAGCAGCAAAATTATCATCAATCAGCATCATTAGCACCAGCATCACCATCAGCATCATCACCATCATCATCATCAGCAGCAGCATCATCATAATCATCATCATCAGCAGCATCATCAGCATCAGCAGCCTCATCATCAGCAGCAGCATGAGCATCATCATCAACAGCACCATCATCATCATCCTGATCATCATCATTATCATCATCAGCAGCATCATCAGCATAATCATCATCAACAGCAGCATCATCGGCATGCTCATCGTCACCACCACCACCACCACCACCATCATCATCATCATCATCATCATCATCATCATCATCATCATCATCATCATCATCATCGTCATCGTCATCAGGATCATCATCAGCATAATCATCATCATCGTCATCCTCCTTACCATCATCACCACCACCACCATCATCATCATCATCACCATCATCATCCGCCGCCTCCGCCTCCGCCTCCGCCTGCTCCTCCTCCTTTTGTTCCTCCCCCTTCTCCTCCTCCTCCTCCTCCGTTTCCTCCTCCTCCTCCTCCTCCTCCTCCTGCTCCTCCTGCTCCTTTTCCTTTCCCTGCCGCACTCCGAGGCCAGTTTTTAGGGCAGGCCGGGCGTTTTCCCTGAGACTTCCTCACAACTCATGACTCTGAAGCTTAACTATTGGCAACAGTTTCACGGATGAAGGGCGGGTCGTTTTCATAATGTGGCTCTCACCTTAGCACGGCGCACATTCGTTTTAAACCATGCAAAAGCTTCACGGATTGAGGGCCGGGTGGTTTTCAACATGTGGCTCTCGCCGCAGCGCGGCGCACATTCAGTTTAAACCTTTACAAAAGCTTTACGGATTGAGGGCGGGTGGTTTTCAAAATGTGGTTCTCGCCTTAGCGCGGCGCACATTCGTTGAAAACACGTGCAAGAGTTTCCCAAATTCCCATCATCAACGTGTCAGAATTGTCTTTTTGAAAGGGTCCAGGACTATGTGGGTGCAACAGTTGCGTTGATTCGCTGTGTTGAAATCCCAGGAATGGTGTTCTGGCGCGATTCAGGATTGTCAAGACGCAACCGTCAGGTTGATCCGTGGCGCTGGAATCCCGAAAACACTGCTGTGGCATGCTTCAGAGTCTTCAAACGGTTGTCTTCCAAAGAGGCAGTTCCTTCAATGGAAATGACCCGTTGTAGGGGCATCTGAAGAGGGAGCTTGGTGGGAGGGTTTATTCCAAAATCCTTAATGAATCTTGGGTTTACACTGGTTATCCATCTCGTTGTCGTCCTCCTCCTCCTCCCTCTCATTTTCCTCCTCCGCCTCCTCCTCCTCTTCTCCTCCTCGTCCTCCTCCTCCTCCTCCTCTTCCGCGTCCGCCTCCGCCTGCGCCTCCGCCTCCGCCTCCGCCTCCGCTTCCGCCTCCGCCTCCGCCTCCGCCTGCGCCTCCGCCCCCGTTCCTCATCCGCCCCCGCCTCCCTCTCTGTTTCCGCCTCCTCCTCCTCTCCTCCTCCTCCTCCTCCTCCCTCCTCCTCCTCCTCCTCCTCCTGCTCCTCCTCCTCCTCCTCCGCCTCCGCCTCCGCCTCCGCCTCCACCTCCTCCTCCTCCTCCTCCTCCTCCTCCTCCTCCTCCTCCTCCTCCTCCTCCTCGCCTCCCTCCTCCGCCTCCGCCTCCGCCTCCTCCTCCTCCCTCCTCTCCTCCTCCTCCTCCTCCTCCTCCTCCTCCTCCTCCTCCTCCTCCTCCTCCTCCCTCCTCCTCCTCCTCCTCCTCCTCCTCCTCCTCCTCCTCCTCCTCCTCCTCCTCCTCCTCCCTTCTCCCCCTCCTCCCTTTTCCCCCTCCTCCCTTCTCCCCCTCCTTCCTCCTCCTCTTCCTCCTCCTCCTCCTCCTCCTCCTCCTCCTCCTCCTCCTCCTCCTCCTCCTCCTCCTCCTCCTCCTCCTCCTCCTCCTCCTCTTATTATTATGCTTATTCGTATTAGTATTCTTCTTATTCTTATTATTATTATTCGTATTTTCTTGTTTTTATTCTTCTTATTATTCTTAGTATTCTTCTTTGTCGTCTTCTTATTATTCTTATTCTTTTTTATGTGTATTATTCTTATTATTCTTCTTATTATTCTTATTGGTATTCTTCTTAATGTTTATTACGATTATTATTAATAATATTATTATTATTATTATTCTTTGTATTATTATTATTATCATTATGATTATTCTTAGTAGTATTATTATTATTATTCTTATTATTAATAGTATTAGTATTATTATTGTAATTAGTATTATTATTATTCTGCTGATTCTTAGTATTCTTCTTATTATTCTTATTATTATTATTCTTATTATTCTTAGTATTATTATTATTCTTCTTATTCTTATTATTATTAGTATTCTTCTTCTTCTTATTATTACTATTATTCTTCTTCTTCTTCGTATTCTTCTTATTAGTATTCGTATTATTCCTCCTCCTCCTCCTCCTCCTCCTCCTCCTCCTCCTCCTCCTCCTCCTCCTGCCCCTCGCGGGGAGGGGCGGGAGGCATCGGTACCCAAACATCCTTGGGGCGTGGAAGAACTGCGACCGCAGGTGCTTCGCCGCTTCGCGGTGCTCGGCCGCAGGGGGCCTTCACCTGGCCCTTGGGCCGTCGAAAAATTGCCCGAGATGCAAAACTGATACCCTGGAAGGGTCCAGACCTTGGGGCGGCTTACGTCGTGCAAAAGTCATGACGTCGGGGGCCTGGGGGAGGAAGAAGAGGGCGAACTACAATTGCGGGGGTGGGAGCTGCACGAGAGAAAGCACGGCGGCAATAAGATGTTGACTACAGAGTTAACTTTCCGTGCCATATACAAGTGTGCGCCGGCGCTGGGGTCAAATAGCTCCGGCCCCTCCTATCTGAGTCGGGATTAGAGAGACAACTGAAGGGAACCATAACTGTCCAACCCCCCAGCACATTCCAGACTCAGTTGAAGGACCCCGTCGTTGTCCGACCTGCACATGGCCCTGCCGTGTCTGGGCGAGGGCATAGCGCACGCGAGGCCGCAAATCTTTTCCCCCGCTCGTCTATGATTTCGCCGAACATGCCCGTCGTGCGCGCGTGAATTCTGCAGTTCGCGCCCGCACGTCCCGCGCGCAATTCCACGCGACCGCGCCTTCGGGTCTTCGGAGGGGAGGGGGGCGGCAGAGGGGGAACAGGATGAGGAGAACAAGGACGAACGGATGTGAAACGGACGCAAGACACTTCCGAAGTTGCGCGCCCAAGGTCGCCCAGGGAGGGCACCCAGCTTCTCCGAGAGAGGCCCGAGAAAGCCCAAGACGGCGACAAGAATTCCACCGAAGTTTCTGACGCCATGATTTCTAGCGCCCCTGCTTGGCTACGCGGTCGAAGCATGGCCACAGGAACACCGGCGCGGCGAAGGGAAAAGAAGAGGACAATGATGTCAGGATGGACAACTCTCAAGGTAATGTGCGAGCCCCGTCTGGCACAACCTTGATTGCGTAGCATCGTTGCCGACGTCGGCGTGAACAAATATGGATTGCCCCGACGCGGCACTTGCGACATCCCGCCCTCGCGAATACACTTGGTCACCCCGTCGTTTCATTCCTCGCGCAGGCTGTGCGCCGCGCTCCAATGCCACGTGCATGCCGCGACGACAAATATGAGCACCGCGCGCTTCCACGGGCTGGGCGACGCAACGTGGCGGTGACTCGATTTCGGCTCGACAGTTTTGAATCGTAGAACGCGTCACAAATTTAACGCGACGCGCAAATCGCCCCTAACCCGTTGAGCAGAGCGGGCCAGCCCCCAGCCGACCGACAATCGAATACCACACAATACACCCAGCGACACAAACAATGAGGTTTGCATCTCTGCTGTCGGTCAGAGCCGTTTCTAAGCGCCTGGGCCGCGAGGCCCGATGGCGGGCACCGAAATCGAAATCGAGGAGAAACACTCTCTACCGTGGCGCTGGCGGTCGCTCAGCGCATGGCCTGGAACGGGCTGCGAGACGGCAGATCAGCACCAGGGAGGAAGGAGGAGAAAACGGCGGCCGCGGAGAGGGCCTGAGTGCGGGCAGAGCGCTCAGGAGGTGAAGCTCTAGAAGCCGACAGCGCGGAAAAACGCTAAAAACTCCGACGACCTTCGGGGAAACGTAGGACTCGGGTTCGGGGGACTCGGGTTGGCCTGACGGGGCCGGACGGTGGACGAGAAGACGGAGGAGGACGAGGAAGAGGAGGAGGGGGAGGAGGAGGACGAGGGAGAGGAGGAGTAGGAGGACGAAGAGGAGGAGGAGGAGGAGGAGGAGGAGGAGGAGGAGGAGGGAGGAGGGAGGAGGAGGAGGAGGGAGGAGAGGAGGAGGAGGAGGAGGGAAGAGTGAGGGTAAGGATGGAGGAGGAGAAGGAGAACAAGGAGCAGGAGGAGGAGGGTAAGGACAAGGAGGAGTAGGAGGAGGAGGAGGAAGAGGAGGAGGAGGGGGAGGAGGACGAGGGAGAGGAGCAGGAGTAGGAGGACGAGGAGGAGGAGGAGGAGGGCGAGGGGGAGGAGGAGGAGGAGGGAGGAGGAGGGAGGAGAGGAGGAGGAGGAGGAGGAGAGGAGGAGGAGGAGGGAGGAGAAAGACAGGTCGTGCGTCCTTGAGCTGAGGATGCCTGTCCGCCGTGCGAAGCGGGTGCCCTCGGATGGCGCGGGCATCACGGGGCGGGAGCTCCCGAGGCGATGAGCCTTCGGTCGAGTCAGATGTGCCAGTGTGACGTAGGCACTGGGTGGAGTGTTTTCCTCCTCCTCCTCCTCCTCCTCCCCCTCCTCCTCCTCCTCCCCTCCTCCTCCTCCTCTTCCCCCTCATTCCTCCTCCTCCATTCCTTGTCCTTATAGATAACTCCTCCCTGTCGCACCCCGATGCTGGTCGAAAGGGTGGGCCGTGCGTTTCCCCTGAGGCTTCCTGGCCAAGCATGATCAAAGCTTAGAACGTGGCGATAGTTTCATAGATGGAGGGCGGGTCGCTTCCAAAATGTAGCTTCCGCCGTAGCGCCGCGCATATTCGTTTAAAGCATTGCAAGAGCTTCACGGATTGAGGGCGGGTCGTTCTCAACATGTGTTTCTCGCCTGAGCGCCGCGCACATTCGGTCCTCAACGAAAACCCCCCCTGTGGCGCAAGAATGACTACGATTACGAGCACGATGACCAGGCTCGCCGCGGTGCTGATCGTCGCAGTGTACGCCAACGCCGTGATGACGGGTATGGCAAGGCTTCCTACGTCGTCCGCAGCAGGTGCGGGCACTGGGAGCACCTCTACCGCGGCCACGCTGCCTGCAGCGTGTGCGGAAGCCCCTACTACGACTGCCAGGACAACTCTACGGGCGGGGAGACTGCGGCGGTCTTCCCACACTCCGTGGATCTGTCTGGGCAAGCCTGTGCTGCTGTTGCTCAGTTTCCTGGGCTACATACGTGACCTACTTGACGTCCACCTCCCGCCTGCCCCGCCGCCCCACGTTCCTTCTGATGTGCAGCTGGATGCGGCAGCGAGACGCGAACGCACTCTTCGGGCTTAAGGTGTTGACGAAACTGCTGGAACTGAACGTCTGGCTTGGCAATGACGGTCTGAACGCCAGGAGGCCCTCATCAAAGCTCGTGACAAGGTCAAGCAAGCCGAGGCCGCCTTCGCCGACGCCTGCACCCATCTTAAAGAAGCCAAGGCCGCCCATGCCACTGCCGAGGAGAAGAAGGATAACTTCAATGAGGGTGAGTCAATGAAGAAGACATTTGAAACTACCTCTGTGCGACACTCCAGTGATGATGGCCAGCCTTGTGGCGAGCACGATCGTGGCGCTAATGCGCCTGGTCCTGCTGCTCCGCCCGATCCTGATCCTACCCGCCAAGTACCTGGGAAACTTCACACCATAAAGGATGTTGAACTACGCAAGTTGGCAGACGCGACTCGGATCCCCTTCGATGAATGGTGTACTCTACTTACTGCTTAGAAGGCTGCTCACAATCTACTGCATGCAAATGTTCCTGCTTCGTCGTCTGATGGAGCTGATGTGCCTGAAGCATCTGCTGAAGCACAGATAGGAGGAGATGGAGATTATGGAGGTAACTGGGCTGGTGGCGACCAGAAAGCTGCCCCAGTCGATGACGATGATGACCTACTTGCTGAGCCCGAGCGTCGCGAGCTGGTCCGACCTGCGCAAGCGCCCCGTTGAGCGCAGGCCAGAAGACCGAGAGGTTGGAGACCCTCTTGGTCAGAAAATGTCACGCACGAGCGCATGAGAACCTCAAGGTGGCAACTTGTGGCAATGATTTGTGGGCCAGTGCTTTCGCGCACTTGGCAGCCCCCCATCCTTCAAGACCCACGCCTGCATGCACGTCCAGGCTGTTCCCCGTAAAACTGCATTAAAACGCAACGAACCTGTATCTCCCAAGGCCCATCAAGGGCCTGATGAATGCTGGCATTCCTACCTGGAGCGGGCTGGAGAACAGTTCGTAGACATACCCCGTGAAGTTCGCGCAACTTTCCTCGGGCTCCACTGGCCTCTACGCATCCAACGATTCCCGGAAGCTTACCCAAGGTGGTCTACTGCTGCGGCAATGCTGCCCAGCTCCCGCGCCAGCATCGACTGGCATGCGCCTGGCGGGCGCATGGGGCAGAGCAGTAGCTGCGCAGGAGCAGACCCTACCCAGGAAAGGAGGCATGAAATACGGTATTTCGAATCCCTGCTCTGCTTTTTGGACGTTGCTCTCGCCCCGCGCGCACGAATTCGCCGCTGCCCTCAGGCGCGGAGGGGACACCCGGGCCACCGCACTCAGGAGCCTTCTCCGAGCGCGTAGCGACGAGGTCGGTCGCCATCTTGAAGGGACCGCCGACGCGCGACATGCTGACGCTTGGACTGGGCGGTTAAAAGAGCTCCCCTTCTGATCCCAAGATGCTTGAAAGGACCGAAGGAGCCCTCACCCCCATCCTTTGTCGCCGGTAGACCGCGGCTGGAAAAGCGTACCGCGTTGGAATCCAGGCCCGGTCAACCGAGGGCATAGACGGGGGCAGCAGGCATAGCCATAGGTGGCCGCGTTCAGACTCGAGGGAGTAAGTTGAGATGGTCGCCACCTCCACTGCTGTTGCCCAGACCCCAATAGAGCTGATGAATCACAAGGAGGGCAAGCGCCTGAGCCCCGTTGCCGAGCTGGAGGCGACGGGGGCCCACAGCATCGGCGGCAAGAAAGTCCATGCGCCCTGCACCCCTGGAGTTGACGAATAATCTTCCAGGGATTTCCTGAAGTCCTTTTTCGAGGCCATCGAAGCCTCGAGTGTCCCCAACAAGTTCATGCCCCCCGCCCAGACCTCCACCACCGAGAGGCCCATCGCCAAGTGCCCCACCCTGTACTGTCTGTACAACCGTATCAGGGAGGATCGCATCGATGAGTGGACTGATAGCCACGTTACCCAATAAGATGCTGTTGTGAAAATCCCGACGGCCCATAGACGCGAGTAAGCTCGTGTACTTTGCTCTAACTGTCGTCTACTCCCCCATGCTCCTCGAGGTCCAACCCCCGGTCTCTGGAGTCATGCGGGCCGGCCAATCTATTATTGCTGGCTGCTCCCAGTCGCTGCCTTGGATTGAATGCTACTTGCAGAATTAGCTACGGAGCAGCACAATATCGAGTACCTCGAGTACCTCTCAGCCAGCATACGTGGATGCCTGAACTCAATGCATCCAACGGTCTGTTCAAGCTATTGTTTCGACGCTGCTTCCAGCTGCTCGAAAGCCATGTGAGCTGCTCAAGAGTAGGATGTCATCAAAGTCATGTGTGGCGGCCTCGTCGCAGAACGTTGGCCGCCCTTTTCAGGCTCTCTGCGATGAGCGAAACACTCCGCTCCGCCTTGCTGACACTGCAAAGGCTCTGGATTTCGGATTACCGCAGTGAGGAGAAGGACGATGTGGAAAATGACGCATAGGAAGGAGAAGGCGCGTCGTCGCTCCAAGAAGATGACTTTCCTTGCCCACGCTAACCCTCGCGCGAGCAAGCTTTTCAAGCCAGGAGTTGATGCTGTAGGATGATGGAGCCACCAACTGGTCAGCGCCGCACCTTCCCAGATGCGGCAGTTGAGGCTGCACCACTACCCTCCTGGCTCTGGATCACGCGATGTCCGATGTCCCCGCATACAAAATAAGCTTTGAAAACCATCTTGAGTGGAGCAGGACCCTGAGAACTCTTGATCCTAGTCAAATGAGTACCGTGAAAGCTGTGGCCTCGTATATTGGATAAACCTCGAGGTGCCCCCCAAACGCGCCAGTGGCGTCGTATTCGGATGCCCATTGCGTCGGTCAGCATGTCTGCTGGAGCTCAACGGGAGCCCGTCGGAACCTCACGAATGGGTTTGTCCAAAGACCACTCTGCGTGCTGACCGTGTTGACCGTATGGAAAGTTCTGCACAGGCAAATTGGTATCATGGTTTGGAATCAGGCGTCGAAGGGGCACGGGGGCCAAGGTGTTCATGAGGGTGACGATTTTACCATGCTGAGGGAACTACGCATATCCCTCTTCAAGCGAGGTGACTTTGAAGGAGTATCTTGTTTGAACCACCTCGCTGCAGGGGGCCAGTGGCCGAGATGCGTCTGAAAGATGCATGATACCTTAGTAACGAGGTATGCAGTCGATGTGGAGCTCGGTCCGAGACTCCTTAGCACAGGCTTTGGGAATGTCAAAACGATGCTAATATTTATCATGGGTTCATTCACCGTACCGCTGAGATGTTCCAGGATTCCCATGATGGCGCGCCTGAGCCTGAGTGTTTCTGGACCTGAGGTCTCCTCCCTCTTGGATGGACCCTTGGGGTCCTCCCTCCTGCTGATGGCCGCGTTTGGGACTGGGAATCCTTTGGGGAAGCTTTGCGTGAGAGCAGCAAGGTTCGAGGAAAGAGTTTCGGAAATGATTGGGGGTTGAGGAAATGCTCCTAGTCCATAGTCCAACTGCACGTAGGTTCTCTGCAGGTGTATGGCGTCCTGTGCGGCACCCTTCCTGGCGAAGACCAGAGCTCACCCTGAGCACAGTTGTATGTCTTGATTCAGATGTCGCGACGGGTCGAAAGCGACACGTTGCTGTACACCGACTGGTTGGCCATCGCGATGTTTTGATGCTGCAGTTCGAATAAGCTCGAAATACGATGGTGCAATAATCATACTACCTGGAAAAAAAGGTTGTCGCCCACCGCCTGACCCCCAACTGACTACTTTGTGGCAGACGCTGCAAAGTGCGGGGTCCACCCAAACAATAAAAAATCATTGGAACTACGGATGTGGATGAAAAATCGCCTCTCGGTTTGCAGCCTGTCGGCACGGTTCCTGGAACGTTCCAGCACCGCGAGGATAGACTAGGCAGAAAGCATCACCGTGACTCAGGACCCAACTCGAATAATGTCCGCAAGCTTCGACGAAACGATCAGGGCCATTATGTTGTCAAAGTTGGTGGTGTTTTTAAATGCGCACGTTGCGTTGGCAAGTTCCCTGCTGTCAAAAGCGAATTTGCGAAAGTATGGTTTGCGCTGAAGTGGTGGATCGGGCCCCTCCCAGGCGTCGGGCCCGACCCTGGGGAACCCGATTGGGCATCCATGTGTTGCCCGAGCGCATGCAATGCACGTCCTGGTTGAATTC